ACTTCAGAGAGCTACAGTATTGCTGACTTCCTGTTTCTGGTGGCCAGTCACCCATTTGTTCCGTGTGTGTTGGTGGGTGCTTCTGTGTGAGACAGGAGATTCTGTGCATGCATATGTTTTCCTCTCTGCTGTCTTGAAGTGACTCCACATTTCTGTGGCTTTAGAGTCAACTTCACTAAGTCTGCCTCTTAGTTTCTGGGCTGGGAGGCTGGGCAGAGTCAGACTGATAGTAACAATCACCCTAAGACTCTTTTAAAACAGGCTTTTCTCTTTCTTTCTTTCTTTCTTTCTTTCTTTCTTTCTTTCTTTCTTTCTTCCTTCCTTCCTTCCTTCCTTCCTTCCTTCCTTCCTTCCTTTCTTCCTTCCTCCTTTCCTACATATTTTTTTTTTTTGAGATAGGGCTTCTCTGTGTAGCCCTGGTTGTTCTTGAACTCAGAGATTTGCTTGCCTCTGCCTCCTGAGTGCTGGGATTAAAGGCATGGGCCACCACCACCCAGCTAGGATTTTCTTTCTTATAAAATAGAAATGGGTTGGGTATAAAGATAAAAGATACTCAGATTTGGGTAATTTCCAAGCAGGAGGGAGCACACAAATTTTCTTACTTTTAAAACGCAGAGAAGGCCCTCATTAGACTCTAGGTCCTAAACTTAGAATATTGGTCACAGGGAAATGCCCACGGGGTCCCCGGTATCTGCCTCTGTCACTTGGGCATCCAGATGTCCCTCCCAACCTTCCCCTGCTCTCAGGTCCTGCCCTGCTCTTCCCAATCTGTGCTCCCTACTTTCCTGCAGCTGGACAGAGCTTCCCTGTGGCAAGAACATTTAGGTGGTGGGGGCAGGGTGGGCACCAGGTGGAAGGTAATGAAATCCTAGGTGTCTTTGGGTCAGGGGGCCAGAAGACTGGGCTGTGCCAGTGGTCAGAGTAGGACCTGGTGCACACATGGACTGAACCCACAGCTCTGGGCTCAGAGGAAAATGGCCTCTGCATTAGAAGCTGGGGCAGAGCCGAGTGCAGTAAATTTTCTATGGGACCAGAGTTCTAGTCTAGCTTGGTCCCCTTTAGCTTCCTCTCTTGTGCAATTCATAGTCCCTTGTCCCTAAAATAGGAGCAGTGAACTAGAGACAAGCCTGTGTGAGCAGGAGGATGGCTCCTATGAAGTGCTTGGCTTGTGTATGCTGCCCATCTCTAGGGAGTGGTCAGTAAATGCCGGCAGCTAGGGACAGGAGTCTAGGTGTGGCAGAACTTCAGAGACTGGGCAGGTGCTGGCCTGGCTGAGACACAGGAGCAGGCAAGAGAAAGAACCGCCCTGTGAAGGACACCTGTCAGGAGCTGCTGAGGTCCCAGAGTCAGAAGAGGTCAGAGAGGAGGGGTAGGGGAGCATTCCCTCACTTTGGGCCTGTAAAATGGACTTGCTGAAGCTCTATCCCTTGGGGTGTAGTGACGGACAGACTCTTTGGATATTGGATACCACCCTCTGCATGCTCAGAGGTAATGGTGGCCAGAACATAGTGTTGCCTCCATTGCAGTCCGCTCCTCCCTCCCACAAAGCCAGCCCCTCTCCTGCCGCTCCTTTGCTTTCCCACGGGTGGGATTGTTCTCGGGGAGGTAAAGAGGCTCCTGTACCTGTCTGGACCAGAGTACCAGAATATGGACACACATTCATCTTGAGACCAGGGAGCTGGGGCTCACCCCCCACCTCCCCGTCATCCTTAGCACCCTGTGCTGTAGGCTTAAAGAAGGGCTGGAAGGGGGTCTGTGTGTCATGGAGGGTCTCTCTGGGCCTCTGCTGGCCTGGCAGTGAGGGCTCTCGCTCTTCCATCATTCCATTCACGCCTAGCTTTGTTTAGCTTTTTTCCCACTTTTTCCTTCTCTTCCTGTCTTAGCTCTGTGTTTTCCCAGAATTCTTATGGGAACAGGGTATTTTCCTGCTTCCTCTCCCCCCCTCTCCCGTCTGTCAGATTTCCTGTTTTACAAACTTGCTTTGAATCCAGGCCCAGGACTGGTGGGAAGCAGAGCCTCGGGGACCTTTGGTCACTCTGGGCTCCTGCCTGCTCCCCTTTGCTGACCCTGGCCTTGGGGTGCCATCAGGTGGACACAGGCACCCAGCCCTAAGAGACAGCAGCACTGCGCGAGGCTGCTGCCCCTGACCCAGCCCAGGCTTGTTGAACTGTTTTCTTCCTCTTCTTGGCCAGGACACCTTTTCTTGTGCTTGTTGGGAGCCACCTTGCCCTTCCCCTATCCCTCTGAAGCCATTTTCTGATTTAGTCATCTCAGTGGCCTGGTGGGCCATGCTGCGCACAGAACCATCCTTTTTGTTTTTTGAAGATTTTGTTTTAAAAGTTTTTTTAAAATTATCTTTTTATATGTGCATGGGTATGTGTATATGAAGGCCAGAGGTGTTGGACCCCGCTGAAGCCACCTGACATGCTGGGCATAGAACTCAAGTGCTAGCACAAGCAAGAATAATGGCTGTGCTCTCAACTGCTAACTCAGCTGTTCTCAGCCTGGGGGTTGTGACCCCTTTAGGGAGCTAAATGACCCTTTCACAGGGGTCACATACCAGGTATTTACATTACAATTTGTAACAGTAACAAAATTACAGGTGTGGAGTAGCAATGAAAGTAATTTTCTGATTGGGGATCCCCACAGCAGAGGTGTGCCATAGCACTCAGACGGCTGAGAGCCATTAAGCCATTTCCAAAACCCCAGCCATAAACATTCTGTAGGTGAGAAGCTGTTACCACCCTAACGGACAAAGCCTTTGCTGAACACCTGCCACTCACAGGCGTGGTGTCTGGGGTCACTCACAGGCCTGATTGCTTGTCAGTTCTGTTGCTTGTCATGGTCTTTTTTTTTTTTTTTTTTTTTTTGGAGAGATTTGTATGGGTTTGTCCTCTCCAGTAGCCAGAGACCAAGTACCACTCTCCTAGGGGCTTCTGTCCCGTGTACTTCAGCACTGCATGACACACACCAGGAGTTTGGGTTACACAGTTTTGATCTGCAGAGAGCATCCAGATGGAAGGGTCCTTCAGCAGAACTTCTGAAAGCTGGAGCTGAGGCACTCCCACACACACAGCCCTGCACAGGCAGAATGAAGCCCGTGGTTATCCGGGAGGCCTTGGCTCTGCCTGTGCCTATGAACCCCGGCACTCCTCCCCTGACCCTTGACCATGACTGAGAGAATATGTCCTAGTCTTCCCTCCCTGGTGCTCCAGGAGGACGGCCACCCACCTGGCACAAGGAAAACCTCTATGGGAAAGGAAGCTGAGAGGGAGGCAGGCAGCTGGTCTTCGGTGGGGAGAGGAGGTCCAGCTCCCGTTAGCTCTTGAGTTACGACCCAGGGGCAAGGTTTATCCTTTTCCTAGCTGCCATCCATTCTGCCCTCTGCGTGAGCTCTTGGCAGCTTGTCTGGCCCACAAGGCAGTGGTAAGATGCTGGCTCTCAGATAGGAACAGAGAAAGGCTGGCTGGCTCCTCCGCAAACCTGGTTCCTGTGGAGAGGAAGGTGGCTCTGGGTGGGGCTTGGAGGCTTCCCAGCTTCAGAACTCTGGAGTAACTGGGCAGGGCTGTATCCTAGATCACTATCCCGAGGGGCAAAGATGGCTTTGGCTTCACCATCTGCTGTGATTCTCCAGTTCGAGTTCAGGCTGTGGATTCTGGTAAGTGAACGGCACGGGGTGCCAGCCCTACCCGCCCACCAGGCAGCTGAACTTTGCAAACGATTGGAGCTGGAGGGGTCCTCACACTGGATCAGGGTCTGGCCTTTTGAAAGGAAAAGAATAGTATCTTTAAATGACCCACAGATGAATCTGAGGTTTATGAAAATAGACCCTTTTTTGTTTGTTTGTTTGTTTTAACAAAATGAAAATAGGTGTTGTATTTTGATTCCTGGTAGTTTCTGAAGAAGAACTAAGCTTCAATTGTGAGAGCTAATGAAAGCCTGGTATGAGCTTTCATCTTATCTGCAAGTCCACTTAGCTGGATATTCCTAGCTGGGTGTGGTGGCTCCTGCCTGTAGCCCCTGCACACAGGAGGATTCTGGAATCAGATACTAGAAGTTCAAAGCTAGGCTTACCTATATCATGAGACTCTGCTCCTCACAAAAACAAAACAACCTTCAAGCAAAACAAACAAAAAGAAACAACAAAATCAGCAGAGGAAAGGTAACTCCGTGGGTAGAGTACTCAACTGTAAGAGTGAGAACTTATGTATGGTCTCTGGAACCCACGCAAAAAAATAAAATAAAATAAAAATTTAAAAAAGTGGCTTATATTCTTAATTATACTACTGGGGAGGCAGAAAGAGGAGAATGGTTGAGACTCACTGGAGTAACCTACATGATGAATCCCAGGCCAGTGAGAGATAGTGCCCGAGGAAGCACACTGTATAGAGGTTGTCCAGAACCATGTTCCAGAAGCATGTGCACATATGTTCTTTCTCCCTTCCACCCTCTCCCACATTCTTGCAAACACACACCCCACCACCAGCACCAAAAAAGATTTCACTTCCTTACTGTTGCAGGAGACCCTTGGAGAGGGACGGTGGGGTGGGGTGCTGCCCCTAGGCTGAGAGGAGAAAGGGGCAGGCGCTGCCTGCAATGGCACCTGGTATAGCACCTCTTTTCTCAGACAGAGCCATTGAGAGAAGAGCGTCCTTGCCCATTGCCACTAGGGAAGCAAAGGACTCCAGGTTCTTTGAGGAAGTCTTAGGCCTCAGTGGTCCCTGAGTGGCTTTTCTTTATTGATGCAGGGGGCCCAGCAGAGAGGGCAGGACTGCAGCAGCTGGACACACTGCTACAACTGAATGAGAGGCCTGTGGAGCACTGGAAATGTGTGGAGCTGGCGCACGAGATCCGGTGACGGGGCAGTGGGCGGCAGTGGGCGGCAGTGGGCGGC